TTAAGGAATTAGATTTCTTTTGAAGAAAATACTGTGAAAACTTGCTCTGTTAAGCATGAGAAATATTTAAAAAAGGATTAGGAGAGCCAGCAATTTTGTTTTCACCTGTATATAAATGAATAAGTGATCAGTTTGGCAGTAAGTCGCTTTCGATCATCAGATAATAGTCTTGTTTTCCCAACGTGGGATGTAAAGTATTAGCTATTAAGCAGATGGAGAGAGTAAAGCAGTTTATTGGGTCATGATGCCGGTGGATGAAGAGTCGCATCAGATGGTACTTTGGCTTATTTACAATTTATGTTCTAATTGATGTGTTTATATTAAAATGTAAAAGAAATGTATACAATTTGTTCAACTAAAATCAATGTTTTTCCTCCCAATTCAGCCTATTTAGGGCACAGTGTGTAATTTTCGCCACTAGAGGGCGTGTATTCACAATAAACAAAGGTGTATTTTGTGTATGGCATGAATGAGTGTGGAATCATGGGAGTTGTGGTCTTCATTATATCCCATAGGACTCATGTTGATGGATGAGATAAAGTACACAGCACTGTTATTCCAAAGATGTGGAAGCGAAAGAGAGAAATGCTGAAGCAATTAATGAAGAGAGAAGAGCACGACATCAGTGAATAGACAATCACCCTCAATAGACAATCAAATTATCAGCCCTCCTGATTTATTCGCCACCCTATTTATTTTTTCCCCAATTTCTGTTGAATGGAGAGCAGATTTCTTTAACACATTTCTAATCATAATAGTTTTAATAACTCATTTCTAATAACTGATTTATTTTATCTTTGCCATGATGACAGTACATAATATTAGACTAGATATTCTTCAAGACACTTCTATACAGCTTAAAGTGACATTTAAAGGCTTAACTAGGTTAATTAAGTTAACTAGGCAGGTTAGGGTAATTAGACAAGTTATTGTATAACGAGAGTTTGGTCTGTAGACTAATGGAAAAATATATAGCTTAAAGGGGCTAATAATATTGACCTTAATTTTTTTTTTATTATTAAAAACTGCTTTTATTCTAGCCGAAATAAAACACATAAGACTTTCTCCAGAAGAAAAAATATTATCAGACATACTGTGAAAATTTCCTTGCTCTGTTAAACATCATTTGTGAATAATTTAAAAAAGAAATACAAATTAAAATGGGGGGCTAATAATTCTGACTTCAACTGTATATTGCGGACTGTTTGTTGAGTCTGCCAGTAGTTTTTGTGGTGTAAAAATGTCAAAGAGCCAAAATGAACCTGAAAGACACCAGTTGTACCCTAAATGCGTACAACCTCCATAAAAATACGAAAATAAATACGTACTCAGCAAACTTTGAACTTTAAACAATATTTAGTTTTATTTTCTACAGGAAGGTTAACTAAACCACTTTAACTCATCTTATGAGCCACAATCATTAATAAATCTAATTTATTCTGGTGCACACTTTAAAAAACATCTGAAACTTTTTTGGTATTTTTTGATATATGTTTTTATTTAAAAAAAAATTATTTATGCTTTTAAATTGCATTATGTGATCTTAATCTTTCCTCCAGCAACTTTTAATCTAGAAAAGTCTGAAAAAGTGACTTTTATGAACATTTTTAATAGTTTAAAGTGATATATTGTCAGGGTTGGTGTTGTATATTACGCTACAAAAACCTTGTAATAATCTGCCAGAACATTTTCTGTTATTTTACAGACTTATTTCTCTCCATATTATCATCTCTTATACTTGATAATATTTCAAACTACTAAAAGGTCAATTAAAGTCACTTTGTTAAACTGCAGAGTTGAATTTTCAACATCAAAAATCAACAGAAATCTAACATCAAGCCAACAGCTTAAACCAGCGTCATGTTGACATCAAATACTGACGTTCTGGTATTGCAACCAAATTTCAACGTCGGATAGACTTCATAGTAGCATAACGTTGATATTTAGTTGATTTTAGGTTGTGTTAGAAAGTGACCAAAATCCAACGCCATATTGACGTTATATACTGACATTTATTCGTCAGGTATGGCAACCAAAATCCAACGTCTAATAGACGTCATAGTGGAGACGTCCACACAACGTCAAGCTGTAACATCATGTAAACTTTTTCGTGTTTTTTTAAAAATGTTTTTATTTTAAATTTTCCCCCATTTCTTTATGCTTTTAAATTGGATTATGGGATCTTCATCTTTCTTCCAGCAACTTTTAATCTAGAAAAGTCTGAAAAAGTGACTTTTATGAGCAGTTTTAATAGTTTAAAGTGATATATTGTCAGGGTTGGTGTTGTATATTACGCTACAAAAACCTTGTAATAATCTGCCAGTACATTTTCTGTTATTTTACAGACTTATTTCTCTCTATATTATCATCTCTTATACATGATAATATTTCAAACTACTAAAATGTCAATTAAAGTCACTTTGTTAAACTGCAGAGTTGAATTTTCAACATCAAAAATCAACAGAAATCTAACATCAAGCCAACAGCTTAAACCAGCGTCATGTTGACATCAAATACTGACGTTTAGTCTTCTGGTATTGCAACCAAAATTCAACGTCGGATAGACTTCATAGTAGCATAACGTTGATATTTAGTTGATTTTAAGTTGTGTTAGAAAGTGACCAAAATCCAACGCCATATTGACGTCATATAGTGACATTTATTCGTCAGGTATGGCAACCAAAATCCAACGTCTAATAGACGTCATAGTGGAAACGTTCACACAACGTCAAGCTGTAACATCATGTAAACTTTTTTGTGTTTTTTTTTTTATGTTTTAATTTTAAATTTTCCCCCATTTCTTTATGCTTTTAAATTGGATTATGGGATCTTCATCTTTCTTCCAGCAACTTTTAATCTAGAAAAGTCTGAAAAAGTGACTTTTATGAACATTTTTAATAGTTTAAAGTGATATATTGTCAGGGTTGGTGTTGTACATTACGCTACAAAAACCTTGTAATAATCTGCCAGAACATTTTCTGTTATTTTACAGACTTATTTCTCTCTATATTATCATCTCTTATACATGATATTATTTCAAACTACTAAAAGGTCAATTAAAGTCACTTTGTTAAACTGCAGAGTTGAATTTTCAACATCAAAAATCAACAGAAATCTAACATCAAGCCAACAGCTTAAACCAGCGTCATGTTGACATCAAATACTGACGTTTAGTCTTCTGGTATTCACCTTATTTTCAGCTGTCGAGCGGGCGCTGCCATTTGAATCTTTTTGTCTCGCGACTTCCGGTCACATTCACTTCCATTAATTTTTTGACGTTAACAACTGCTCGTTACGCTGCTTGATGTTGCAATTTAATATTTTCTTATTATATTATGCTACTTGGTCTGTGTAGTCATGCAAACATTTGTTTGTTGAGCAAGTAGTTTGGCCATTTTCTGCCATTTATTATTCCTAGTCATTTCTCCCATAGGCGACTGAATCGGAAGTTCTAAGACAATCGCGAAAACAGGCGCACTTCCACATTTTAGAATAAGGTCAATTGCAACCAAAATTCAACGTCGGATAGACTTCATAGTAGCATAACGTTGATATTTAGTTGATTTTAGGTTGTGTTAGAAAGTGACCAAAATCCAACGCCATATTGACGTCATATACTGACATTTATTCGTCAGGTATGGCAACCAAAATCCAACGTCTAATAGACGTCATAGTGGAAACGTCAACACAACGTCAAGCTGTAACATCATGTAAACTTTTTTGTGTTTTTTTTTTTTAATGTTTTTATTTTAAATTTTCCCCCATTTCTTTATGCTTTTAAATTGGATTATGCGATCTTAATCTTTCTTCCAGCAACTTTTAATCTAGAAAAGTCTGAAAAAGTGACTTTTATGAGCATTTTTAATAGTTTAAAGTGATATATTGTCAGGGTTGGTGTTGTATATTACGCTACAAAAACCTTGTAATAATCTGCCAGTACATTTTCTGTTATTTTACAGACTTATTTCTCTATATATTATCATCTCTTATACATGATAATATTTCAAACTACTAAAAGGTCAATTAAAGTCACTTTGTTAAACTGCAGAGTTGAATTTTCAACATCAAAAATCAACAGAAATCTAACATCAAGCCAACAGCTTAAACCAGCATCATGTTGACATCAAATACTGACGTTCTGGTATTGCAACCAAATTTCAACGTCGGATAGACTTCATAGTAGCATAACGTTGATATTTAGTTGATTTTAGGTTGTGTTAGAAAGTGACCAAAATCCAACGCCATATTGACGTCATATACTGACATTTATTCGTCAGGTATGGCAACCAAAATCCAACGTCTAATAGACGTCATAGTGGAAACGTCCACACAACGTCAAGCTGTAACATCATGTAAACTTTTTTGTGTTTTTTTTTTATGTTTTAATTTTAAATTTTCCCCCATTTCTTTATGCTTTTAAATTGGATTATGGGATCTTCATCTTTCTTCCAGCAACTTTTAATCTAGAAAAGTCTGAAAAAGTGACTTTTATGAACATTTTTAATAGTTTAAGTGATATATTGTCAGGGTTGGTGTTGTACATTACGCTACAAAAACCTTGTAATAATCTGCCATTACATTTTCTGTTATTTTACAGACTTATTTCTCTATATATTATCATTTCTTATACATGATAATATTTCAAACTACTAAAAGGTCAATTAAAGTCACTTTGTTAAACTGCAGAAACTGCAAAAATCAACAGCAGACATAATGCAATTTGCAACCATAAATAACCAGAAAACACTTGCGAATAACAAAATATGGACACTTTTCATTAACAGATATATTTTTTCAGTGTAGCTGGAGTTTCTAAGATCCATTGATGATTTTTATAGGTCTCCGCAAAAACTTGACATTGCTATAATTGCAGTTTTGTAGGGCTATTTCCTCTTTGAGCTGGTCCTGCTGAATGCTTAGAGGTGACTCTTCTCTCTTTGGCCTAATGAGATCAGTGGAGATTGAGGACATCAGAGCTCAGTCCTCAATCTCCACACCTCAGAGAAGGAGGAGGATTTTCAGAGTACAGAAATACAGGAGGAAGCTGGAGATCAGAGCTCAGTGTGTCTGGGGGAGCGAGAGGTCTGCACTGCTCATGATCTCCTAGCAGGACACAACACACTTCTCTGACTGCCGCAGGGCCCGACAATCCACAGGTAAAGATAAAAAAAACAGCACTACACCGTTAACAATGTCCTGTAGAATCTACAGTAACTTACTGGCAGCAGTTTGCTAGTAAATCAATTACGGCAAAAATACTGTATTTACATTTACAGCACCATTTATCTCGCTGTAAATGTATTTAATTCTATGTATATCTTTACTGTAAAATATTCTGTAATTTTTTTACAATGCAACTTAATTAAAACACAGCAACATAGTGCATACTTTTACTACAGTAAAATACAGTTTATATTACAGTTAAATACAGTGTAGTTCACACAAATCGTTAACGGTGTACTTTTGCTTAGTTTTTGGGCAAGATATTGCAAATGTGCGGAATGCTTGAATAGAAAAATTGTTAATAAACCAGAAACATACTTTATTTAAATTTTATTTCAACAGGTAAAATCAGATTATTATTTTTTGCTTCATTTTTGTCAGATTAATGCAAATATACAGAATGGTTGAATAGAAAAATCTGAAACAACCAGAGCTATTATATAGTCTTGTTTTAATTCAACAAGTAAAACCAGTTTTTTTATTTATTTTTTGCTTTGTTTTATTGTCAGATTATTGCAAATATGTGGGAAAAACAGATATATTGTTTATCTTTACATTTTAATTCAACTGGTCAAAAACTTTTTTTTTTTTTTTGCTTTGTTTTTGGTCAGATTATTGCAAATATGCAGAACGATTGAAACAGAAACATCAAAAACAACCAAAGATATCATTTATTTTTACGTTTTAATTAAACATTTAAAGCCAGCTTTTTTTTTCTTTTTTTTTTTGCTTCATCTTTGGTCAGTTTATTGCAAATATGTGGAAAAAAACACATTTATAATTTATATTTAGATTTTAATTCATCAGGTAAAAAACAGCTTGTTTTGTTTTTGTTTGGATTATTTGTTTTGGATTATATGCAGCACATTTGAATGGAAAAATTGGAAACAACCTGACTTAATAATTTATTTACGTTTTAATTCAACAGGTAAAATCTGATTTTTGTTTATTTTTTGCTTTATTTTGGTTGGATTATTGCAAATATGTGAAACATTTGAATAGAAAAATTGGAAACAACCAGAGATATAATTTATTTACAGTTTTATCCAATACAGTTTTTTTTTTTTTTTTGCTTAATTCTTCTTTGGAATATTGTAATTATGCGGAACAGTAACAACTAGACATATTATTTATTGTTAAATATTAGTTCAACAGGTAAAAAAAAAAGGAAAATTAAATTATTTTAAACATTAAATATGTTTGAATAGAAAAATGTGAAACAATCAGTAATTAATTTAAACTACATTATGCACATTTCAATTTTCCCTCATAAAAGCCTTTTTTAGATACGCAAATAGGGATTTAATAAGCTTTTCATTTATATAGCCTTTATAATATAATCAAATAGCATTTTTTAATTCTCTGAATATGATTTTTGCAATGTCATTTTGACATTTTTTGTGCATTTACCTGTAATAGTTTTGTATGTATTAACAATAATCCATTTAACAGACACTTTAACCCAATGCAACTTCATAAAAAAAGGAAATTAAGAAAACATGATAGTTAACATTAACGAATCGGCCCCAGATGCCAACAAATCTGTGAAAGAATTTGTAAAATAGATTGTTGTGAAATATAAACAAACAATTAACTATATAAATAAATAAGTAAAATCCAAAATTACATTTATATTTATTTCAATTTAAATAAACAAACAAAATAAGTAAATATATTCTGAAATTACATTAAATTTTTTTTAAATAAACAAACAAAGATAATTGTAAAATAGATTGTTGAATATTATAAATAAATAAACTAATTAATAAAATCTGACATTACATTTACATTTACTTCAGTTTAAATAAACAAACAATTTTTTTTAAAATAGATTGTTGGATATTATGAATAAACAAATACACAAACATATAAATGATTAAATAAAATCTGAAATTATATATAAAATAATTAATTACAAATAAAATGAATTAAACAAATATATAGATAAATAAAAAAATAGATAAATAAAATCTGAAATTACATTTAAATTTATTTCACTTTAAATAAACAAACAAACAAATGTAAAATAGATTGTTGGATATTATAAACCAACAAACAAATAATTAAAATCTGAAATTACATTTAAATTAATTAATTACAAATTAAATTATTTAAACAACCAAATACATAGATAAATAAATAAATAAATAAATAAATAAATAAACAAACAAACAAATGAATGAATAAATAAAAAAAATGTAAAAATCTGAAGTTACAATTAAATTTATTTCAATTTAAATAAACAAAAAAAAATATGTAAAATAGATCGTTGGATATTATAAACCAATAAAAAAATAAATAAAATCTGAAATTACATTTTACATTTATTTACATTTAATTTAACAAACAAATACATAATTTATTAACATTTAAGTTGCAATTAAAACAAGATAAAAAACTAATTAAGTATTGTGCGCAAAACCTTTTTAAGGGAGAGTATTTTCACATATGTCTCCTTTTCTTTTCTGAATAGTCAGGATGGCTCGGGACATGTCAGATAAAGAAATCCTGAAGATGGAGCTGGACCAGCTGAAGGTGGAAGTGAACACTGCTCGTACCGCGGTAAGAAACTCCATCATCATCATTATCTTCCATCCATTGTTTCGACTGCTTGATTTCAGTCAGTGAAAAAAAATTCCTTCTCCTCCTCAGGTTTCAGCAACAGCCCCAGAAATCATTGCATTTGTGGAGGGTTTATCTGCCGAAGATCCTCTGGTTAAAGGTGTGCCAGAGGACAAGAACCCATTCAAGGAGAAGGGAGGCTGCATTATTACGTAGCGTCGGCCCTGGAGGAACCAGGGCTCTCTGTTCAATCAACGCTTTTTGTATAAAGTTTGCCGGTCCTAGAAATGCTTTTGATTTACTGTAGTTTAAAATAAAATATAAAAGATGTCCAGAAATGTGAACCCTCATGTCATTTAATACCTCTTTGTGATATGATGCTGTCGGTCTGTTTTTGAAATAAACACATTAGCAATCTGAGCAAATGGTTTAATGTCGTGGTGTCAGTGCGATCTAGACTCTAATTTGGTCATTCATTCATTCATTCATTCATTCATTCATTCATTTATTCATTCATTCATTCATTCATTCATTCATTTTCCTTCAGCTAAGTCCCTCATTTATCAGGGGTCACAACAACGGAATAAAATGCCAACCATTCCAGTGTATTTTCTAGTAGCAGGAAACACCCATGCACTCTCTCTTTCATACACACACTCATACACTTCAGTTAATTAAGTTAATCCAATTCCCCTATAGCGCATGTGTTTAGACTTTGGGGGAGCAGCACCCGGAGGAAACCCGACGGAGAACATGCAAACTCCACAGAGAAATGCCAACTGACCCACACTGTAAAAGCTAATACCCTATCTACTCACTAAAACTGAGGTAACGGATTACAAGCAATATTGTTAATTAAATTCAACTAATATGCATTGAGTAACAATTAATTAAACTGGCTTATTTAAAATTAGTCATTTAAAATGAGTAACTGCAAACAGTATTTAAAAAAAAAAAAAGCAAATTTTAACCAAAGTTATTGATTTAATTATTGATCGTTGTAACAGAAAATGATTGTGAATTTGAAAATGCTCATTTTAATCACGTTGGATTTAATTAATATTTTCTCTTTTTTTAATTATTCAAAAGTCTTGGCTAAATTCTCATAATAAAATTCATTAGATTTTATTTAAGACATTTTTAAGTAAGTTTAAAGCAAAAAAAATACCTTAAGAACAGGAAATAATTTTTTTTTAAATAAAGTGTACATATTAAATTCTAATAAAATCTACAAGAACACAGAAGCTGAATATATCTATAAAGAAAATCACAATTATTTGACGAAAAATTTGAATCCCTGAAAGAAAACGTCAGAATTTTGAGATATTCAATCATTCATTTTCCTTCAGCTTAGTCCCTTCATTTATCAGGGGTCGCCACAGCGGAATGAACCGTCAACTTATCCATCACGTTTTACACAGCGGATGCCCTTCCAGCTGCAACCCAGTACTGGAAAACTCCCATACATATTCATTTACACACACACAAACATACACTACGGTCAGTTTTCTTTAACCAATTCCCCTATAGCGCATGTGTTTAGACTGTGGGGGAGCAGCACCCGGAGGAAACCCGACGGAGAACATGCAAACTCCACAGAGAAATGCCAACTGACCCACACTGTAAAAGCTAATACCCTATCTACTCACTAAAACTGAGGTAACGGATTACAAGCAATATTATTAATTAAATTCAACTAATATGAATTGAGTAATAATTAATTAAACTGGCTTATTTAAAATTAGTCATTTAAAATGTGTAACCGCATGTGTTTGAACTGTGGGGGAAACAGGAGCACCCGGAGGAAACCCACGCCAACACGGGGAGAACATGCAAACTCCACACAGAAATGCCCACTGACCCAGCCATGAGTCGAACGAGCAACCTTCTTGCTGTGAGGCAACAGCGCTAACCACTGAGCCACCGTGATGCCCATTTCTGAGATAAAAACCATTACAAGAAAAAAAACGTCAAAACTGCAAAATATAAGATCAGAATTTACTAAAACAGGAGATCAGAAGTGAAATAAAAACTAGATTGTCAAATAAAAATGGAATTTGTGAGATTTAAACTTTAAATACTTTTTAAAAAATAGTAAAAGCTACATGATTACATCAATTAAAATTGCATAGATGAAAAATAAAGCAGATAAAAACACTAACTCCAAGTTCAACACAAAGTCAGAAATGTGAAATGCAAACTTGCTTGTATAAAATGACTACAGAAAAGATTTTGCATTTTGGTTAGGGGCGGGGAAAAAAATCAGAAAATCTTTAAAATAATTTATCCAAACGGTGGTTACCATAGTGATGTGAAAGAACTATTATGGGTTCTTATGGGTTTACACTGTAAAAAATAAATTGTTGAGAAAACATTAAAAAATAAGGCAACTTGATGCAGTAAGAACTTTGAGTTGCCTCAACAACTATTTTTTAGTTCTTCTCAGTAACAGTATTTTGTTAAACTGACATAATTTTGTTCATTCATGCAATGTTGATTATTGCATTTTACTAATAAAGATATTCTTTTCACATCAACTAAAGCAACAGTTACTGCTTTTGAGTCAATAATTTTTTTTTGTTTAGTGGATGATTGTTTTTCAAATTTGCAAAATAAGTAATTAGTTGTTGTTTGCATATCATCCTATTTTTAATCATTTTACTTAAAAATGAACACAAACTTACTACTTCATCCATTCATTCCTTCGGCTTAGTCCCTTTATTCATCGGGGGTCACCACAGTGGAATGAACCGCCAACTTATTCAGCATATGTTTTACACAGCGGATGCCCTTTTAGCTGCAACACAGTACTGGCAAATGCGCATTCACACTCAGACCACTGGGGCGGAAACCGGAGCACCCGGAGGAAACACACATGAACATAGGGATGTCAACTGACCCAGACGGGTCTCGAACGAGCAACCTTCTTGCTGTGAGGCGACTGTGCTACCAATTGCGCCACTGTGTCACCCCTCTTTCAAGCAACAGATAAACAAGCTCAGTTTGCAATCGTCACGTCACGCATGCCCAACTGATTCAAATATCAACATTCCTATTCAACACAAAAATGTTTGTCCAGAAAACTCAGTTAAACATGTAGACATGACATTTTAGCGAATATTGTTGATATAGCAGATATTTTTGTGTAATCAATTCTTATTCACAATTCTTAGTAAATATGACAGAAAAAGAACAGTGCGTTGAACAAATGGTGATTATGTTTTTTACAGTGAATCCAATCACCTATACCGCATGTAAACGTTGGGAAAACATAGAAACTCCCCAATCAAAGCCAATGTTGGGTTGATTTTTTTTTTCAATTCAATTTAAATCACACATTTTGGTATGGTTTGTTCATATTGACCCAACATTTCATTTACATTTACATTTAGTCATTTAGCAGACGCTTTTATCCAAAGCGACTTACAAATGAGGACAAGGAAGCAATTTACACAACTATAAGAGCAACAATGAATAAGTGCTATAGGCAAGTTTCAGGTCTGTAAAGTCTAAGAAGGGAAGTATTAGTAGTATTATTTTTTATTATTATTATTATTTTTTGTTTGTACAGTTAGTGTGATATTCAGAGAGGCAATTACAGATTAGGAAGTGTAGTGGAGACTAAATAGTTGGGTTTTTAGTAGTTTCTTGAAAGTAGCGAGTGACTCTGCTGTTCTGATGCAGTTAGGGAGTTCATTCCACCAACTGGGCAGATTGAGCGTGAGCGTTCGCGAAAGTGATTTCTTCCCTCTTTGGGATGGAACCACGAGGCGACGTTCATTCACAGAACGCAAGTTTCTGGAGGGCACATAGATCTGCAGAAGCGAGAGCAGATAAGAAGGAGCAAAGCCAGAAGTCACTTTGTAGGCAAACATCAGAGCTTTGAATTTGATGCGAGCAGCAACTGGCAGCCAGTGCAAACGGACTAGCAGCGGAGTGACATGTGCTCGTTTAGGTTCATTGAAGACCACTCGTGCTGCTGCATTCTGGAGCAGTTGAAGAGGCTTGATAGAGTTAGCTGGAAGCCCGGCTAGTAGAGAGTTGCAGTAATCCAGTTTGGAGAGAACAAGAGCTTGAACAAGGAGTTGAGCTGCATGTTCAGATAAGAATTTCTTAGTGTCTAATCATTTGCTTTTAGATTCATTCATTTTCTTTCGGCTTAGTCTCTTTATTCATAATGGGGTCACCACAGCAGAATGAACCGCCAACTTATCCAGCATATGTTTTATGCGCTCATACAGCCAATTTAGTTTATTCAGTTCACTTATAGCACATGTGTTTGGATTGTGGGGGAAACCGGAGCAGCCGGAGAAAATATGCAAACTCCACACAGAACCACAGGACTTGAGCCAGCAACCTTCTTGTTGTGAGGCGATGGTGCTAACCACTGAGCCACTGCGTCGCCCTTGCTTTTAGATGTCAGCTCACATTCTCCATGACTATTCAATGTGACACATCTCAGAGATTTATATAATTATCATTTAATATCTCAGTCATCAGTGCGTCTCTGCAAATCCTGGAAACCGTATGAGCAAATCCTTCAACAACAAACTGAAATAACCTTGCTGTTTGGTCTTGCTCACACACACACACGAGCCGCAGTTCATCCCAATTACTGGCTCAGTATTTAAATAGGAGGCAGTGGGACAAGTCGGAAAAGGAGCTTACAGGATGAAAAGCTCAAGATGAGGATCAGAGAATGAGCTTAAGATCTTGAGACACAGGAAGCAGATGCTGTTCAGCGGCACAGAAATGGTCTGACACACAAATCTCATGATTACAGCAGCCAATGAGCAGCCACTCATTTGGTCCACATGCGGAGGTTTACCTATGCAGAGCTCTAATGAAACATTACCCCCGTTATCATGGACAAATGACACTCTTGCCTAAATACAGCCATGCGACGCAATTGGATGAATTGAATTGGTGTGTGTGTGTGTGTGTGTCTGTTTGTATGGGATAGTATATGGGTGTCATTGTTGATGAAAGGGTATGCACTGCGTAAAACATATGCTAAAGTAGTTGGTGGTTCATTCCGCTGTAGTGAGCCGAAGGAAAATTAATAAAGGAATGACTTTGATAGGTCTACATTTGACCCAACGTTGGGTTACATATAACATTTTCATTTTTCTCCCGTTTTTCCACTTTTTTCCAGGAGAGAACCCTAGACTACTGTCTCCCTGGACACTTCCTCCTGCTCCTCCGGTGGGATCCTGAGGCGTTCCCAGGCCAGCTGAGAGACATAGTGCTCCAGCGTGTCCTTGGTCTTTCCCAGTGGGAGATGCCTGGAACCAGGGCCGGAGTGGGACTCCTTTTTAGCTCTGGAGTTTCAAGCCTTACCGTACGTTCACACCGAAAGCGGCGAGAGCATCAAAGTAGCCGGAAGTCATTCATTTTAAATGAGAGCCGGCGCGATAGGCGACGA